GACAGAGGGACAGGAGGAGAGGAGGACAGTGGACAGGAGGAGAGGAGGACAGTGGACAGGCGTGGAGGACGACAGAGGGACAGAGACACAGTGACCTGATGAAGATCTGAGAAGGTCACACTGAACATCATTATCACTGTCCCCCAACACTGATAACACACACACACACACACACACAGATAAAACAGACACACACACACACACACACATCAGAACGTTATCAGGACGCTCTGTAGAACATCAGACTGAGAGTTACAACTAATAACCAAACATGATAAACACGTCAGACATGATGTCACACTGTCAGAGGACCACATGACTCTCCTGACAGGTGTAACCGTCACCTGTTGTTCTGTAAACAGCTCGAGTTTAACCCCACCCTGCCGACAGACCACACCCACTCACACCAGTTCTGTCTAAGCACTTATAGCTCTCCTCCTTTCTACGACTTTCTTGCTAATCTCTTAGCTGTTGTTTGCACGTTACTAGCCTTGGTAGCTACATTAGCTTTACAGTTAGCGATGGCTTCTCCATCTGCTCTTTCTTGCTCGGTGTGCCAAATGTTCAGTTATGCCTCTGCCTCCTTTAGCGACAGTGGTAACTGTAATAAGTGTAATAAGCTTATTTGCTGCGTTGGAGGCGAGGCTTAGTGAATTAGAAGTGCGGCTCCGCACCACGGAAAACCATTCAGTAGCTGCAGTAGTTAGCCAGCCCCCTGTAGCCGGCGCGGAGCCACATAGCATAGCCTCTGCTAGCGGTCCTCCGGTAACGCCTGTGCAGCCGGGAGGCTGGGTAACCATTCGCCAGAGGCTCCAAGCAGAAGCCCACGGCTCACCACCAGCCTGTTCACGTTTCCAACTGCTTTTCCCCACTCAGCGACACACCCGCTGAGGATAAAACTCTGGTTATTGGCAGCTCTATTCTGAGGAACGTGAAGTTAGCAACACCAGCGGCCATAGTCAAATGTATCCCTGGGGCCAGAGCGGGCGACACTGAATCAAATTTAAAACTGCTGGCTAAAGCTAAACGTAGATTCAGTAAGACTGTTATTCACGTTGGCGGCAATGACACCCGGTTACGCCAATCGGAGGTCACTAAAATTAATATTGCCTCGGTGTGTGAATATGCAAAAACGATGTCGGACTCCGTAGTTTTCTCTGGACCCCTCCCAAATCTGACCAGTGATGACATGTTTAGCCGCATGTCATCATTTAACCGCTGGCTGTCCAGGTGGTGTCCAGCAAACGATGTGGGTTTTGTTAATAATTGGCAAACTTTCTGGGGAAAACCTGGTCTTATTAGGAGAGACGGC